TCGCAAGGCTATATTTTCCGCATTTTACAACATTTTGCAACGAAACTTTGGAATATTACTAATTTTGTGATGCTCCTTCAAGCTGTAATGAAATTTTTGTCTAGACTTGTTTAGTTCAAAATTTAGTCTATTACGCAAATGGTCAATTATGCTGTATTTATATTTACGAAAAGTTAATCAATTCAATGGATATTTATTTGTTTTCAATTGTTGCTTGTTTTGTTTTCTTTCTGTCACAAAATGAATAATAATATTGTTGAATTCGGCTTGCGCACGATTCCAGAATTATTTAGACCACGGTCAATGTTATCTGCCTCAGCCTTCGGCTTCGGCAGATAACATTGACCTCGGTCTAAATAATTCTGGATATCCTGCTCAGCCTCATCCAATAATTGTTAAAAATAAATAATGACTAATTTCCAGATAACTAATAAATTATACAAATAAACCGATTCTTCGAATATTTATTCCTGTTCATTTAAACCTGCGTCATCATGGCAGAAATTTTGTGGACATTTAGCTGTAAACTAAAGTGGTTTTCCCTCACAGATTGGGTTAATATGAACATAGTTAAGAAAGTAATATCACAAGGGTTGTAAAGATAAATGTAGTCTAGGCAAGTGAGTAATATAAGTGAGCATAATACTTGATGTAATTGGTCACTTGAAAAGCCCGGATGGGGAGTAAGTTGAATTATGTATAATAATAATAATAATAATAATAATAATAATAATAATAATAATAATAATAATAATAAAAATAATAATAATAAAAATAATAATAATAATAATAATAATAATAATAATAATAGTAATAATAATAAAAACTTTATTTAAACTGTTAAAAATCCCATCAGCATTCCTGCTGGTATTAACGGAGAACAGTGATTACAATTATCAACGTTACACTTATTTTATATACTATATAAGCATGCATATTCTTATACACTACAAATATGAGACTTGATTTTCTGTGTTGATGTTATGTACTCAGTTGAATATGATGTTTGTCATAACAAAGCGTAAAAATCGTCTCCTGCTGTGTCAGCAGCCTAAGTTCGCTGCGCATGTATATAACCTTTCTTTCCGTTTATCGTTTCCAGCACTTCCAATGCAGCATCCAGTTGCAGGGGCAATGTTCCCTCCCAAGGCTTTACCACCAGAACCACACTTACCCTTTTACAGCCCTTTGTATCCTCCGTTTGCCCTGGGCAATCCCCTTGTGTACGCAAAGCCAATGATTACTGGCTCAAGAAAGAGAGAATGGACTGGTCCCGAGACAGACCGCAAGGAGTATAGGGACACTGAATTCGAAACACGCGATCGAAATGAAAGGTATGTGTATATGTTGTCGTAAACTCTGGATGGATAATAAGGAATTCGAGATAATCCTTGAAACTAAACTACTTAACTTGATTTATACCGGATAGCTCTATCAGTTTTAAACTATCCCCCCTCTGGATATCCAACAAGGGTCATTTCTTATTGATCGAGCGTTACTGTAGGAGGAAAGCTAAACTAAACTAACTTTATTTACCCTGGATAGCTCTATCAGTTTTACATTGTTTCCCCAGTAAGGGTAATATAAACTAAATTAAGTTTGGATACCAACTGTGAATAACTTGTATCCTGATTAAATATTACAAAATTTCAAACGTTATGATGATGCTAAATAATTTGAATACTATGAATCTGCCTTCTTGAAAATAACCAGCCTTTAAGTTCCAACTTGGAGGTCAAGTTCTTGACAGTTGTTATTGTAATTAGTAACAATGACAGACATTTGCTGTATACTTACTTTCATGGTTCTTGGATGCCAACATTTATGGTAACCAGTATCCAGAAATGGGATTCTGAGATGGGATACTAAAACTTTAAATCGTGGTATTTCAGCAGGGTACTGAAAAAAAATTTAAATTTCAGACCCTGTTTTTGTAGGTGGAAATTACGAGCCGAATTTCCATGTACAAAAACCCTTCAACATTCAGTTATATCGGAGCGAGATGCCCAAAATTTAAAATAAACTATAACATTGTGTATTCTATTGCCGTACAGTTGGTTGAAGCGAGGTGACGACAGAGATGAGAAGCGATTAAGATACAATGAAGAGTTAATGAACCCTCGTATCCTGTTTCATATTGAACCGTCGTATCCCGTTTCTCCTAGTAGAGGAAGAGAAGAAAGCGAAACAGGTCGTGTTTCCAAAATTGTCGATCCAAAGAGAATGGAGGTTGCTCCGTGCGATATGTCACGTGAACAGCGTGCGCTATCACGCGGACATCAATCATGTGAGTACCAGGAGTCACGTGGGCAGCAATTATGTGAACTTGAGTCACGTGAACGGGAGCAACGCTTACGGAATCAAAGTTCCGAGAAAGTTGATGTGAAATTCGAGGAAAGGGAACGACGTCGATACGAAGCTGCAGTAAACGAACACTTACGCGCGGGTAGGCATTTTGATTCCCGGCTGATCATAAATTCAGGACTTGTAGACGACCGGAGAATCGAGGCCCGGCTGTATGCTGCTAACGGAAATCTCCGCGGAATTGAGCCCAGAAAGTATGACCCGCGCATAAGAGAAAGTGTGGACGTGAAGTCTAAAAGAAATTTGGATGAACAAAGCGATGAAAACCATCGTTCAAAAGAACACGTTCCTCATTGGAACGAGAGATCGAATGATCGGACCTTGCCGGAACATCTTCGGGTTTTCTACAACGATGACGGGCGGCCACGAAGTGCACATCAATGTAGTACTCGGAGCGTGTCGCCTCAAGTGAATGGTGCCGATGGTAAACAGAACAGATCAGAAATAAAATTCCGCGGGCTTGATACAGCTAGTCATCCCGAAACTACTGAAGCCAAGAGAAATGAATCGGGAAATACAATTGGGCAATCTATGCCATCAAAAACTCCTTCTCCCCTTAATACTGATGACGTTGTCGTTTCCAAGCGCAACCGCAGTAACGAGTCGAGTCTCTCGCCCAGTGTTTCGAGGCTTGGAACTGAATCATCAGTTGGCAATGCAATGAGAACAGGATTTGGTAACCTGGTTATGACCCCAAGTGGCGCTGGGTACCCTAACTTACAAATGCTCAATTCAGACCAGCAGTTAATCTTGACTGAATATGAAGGGAGGTTCCCGATGTTATTTCCCATGCCTAATGGCATGTTTTCTCATCCTGGACTAGACCCCAGCCACGGGCTGAACGAATATATGTTAAAACCTTGGAGGGAGATGTCGCAAGGTATTGATATATTATTATGATTATAAAGAATTATACATACTCTCTCATTGAAATACGATTTTCTTTTATTAGCCTGCTACACACGTAAAAATCTTACAACATATCAACAACTTGTGTTCGTAACAACCTTGTCGCAAGCTTGCATGTCAACAAGTTGTAACAATGTTGTTAGTTTATCAAGTTGCTACAAGGTTGTTACTCACAACTTGTTGACAAATTGTTGAATAGCAGGACGATAACATGTTGTTGGAACAACATGTAGCAAGTTTGTTGAGCTCACTGGTTAACTCAACAGACTTGTTACAAGTTGTCAACAAGCCGTTGAAAACCTGTTGCAAGTCTGCTACGGGTTTTGTTTCGACTTGTGCGTTTTCACGAGTGTATCTTGTTCAGTGTTACTATAAGATGAAAACTAAATTAAAATAACTTTACTTCTACTTGATAGCTGTATCAGTTTTAAACTGTTCACCCTACAGATGTAGTGGGAGCCATCCCACATTTTTCTAGTGTTACTACAGAAGGAAATGTAAACTCTATCAGTTCTAATTCTAAATTAACTGTTCTTCCTACAGGTGCAGTAAAGACCATAATAGCACAGAGTAGATAGATACAGAGCTGTAGCCGTCGCAAACACTGCGAAAACTTTTTTATGTACCCACACTTTTTCAGGCGACCGGGCCAGAACTGATCAACTGCGCGCGCTCGGTAAGTTCCGCGAGCAGTTAAAGCGAGTCGCCATCCAATGGGATGCATGCATCTAGTAACTTGACGAGTACGCGCACAAAAAAGTAGGTACACTAGTTATAACGCTGTATATGTATCTACTCTGTGATAACACAAATGAAGTATATATCAAATGTGTAACTTAATAGAATTTCGTGTCCTCAAATTTCCCTAGATGTACACGTCATGCTCACGCCATGACACTTGCTAGCAAAATAGCGTCCTGAAAAACACGAGTTTTTGCATTTTATTGCGGCTTTTTTGATCGAAATTTATGTATTAAACAATCAAGGATCATTTGTTGAATGTTTAAAGTCGATGAAAGCAATTAAAGTTGAAGGAAAGGTGTTGAAAGTTTTTTGAAAGCAATGACGTATTACGAAATGACGAATTATTACGCGAACTACACTCAGTGAACTATATATATATATATAAATATATATATATATATATATATATATATATATATATATATATATATATATATATATATATATATATATATATATATATATATATCTGGAATGATAACAGCGAGCGAAAAGTGAAGCCGACAAAAATATCACGACATAAGTATTCGTCATTGTCTTCGTCATCAACTGTTCAAGAACTTTCTTACAGTATTAAAAATCACTTACATATAAAATTTGTAATTGTTTTGAAAGTTTTTATCACAGTTTTTATATCTTTATTCACTTTTAACCTGAAGTTGGAGTTATACTCCGAAACGTAGTTATTAAAATAATTTTTTACTAAGCCCATATGGTCTAATTTATATTCAAACACACGTACATATTAATTTACATTTTGCTGGCAGGCAAATTCCGATCACACAATAAATTCTTTAAAAAATAACGTACCAGTGTATTGACTAAAAACTATAAAACTGCTAAACCAAAAAACAATTCAAACAATCGCGAAAAATGGCAACGGCAAAGTCACAGTTGCAAGCCAATTTACCTACCTGTGAAATGAAATTTTCTCGCAAGAATATCTCTTTCCTTGTGCATCCAGAACGACAGTACGACACAATATATTTGAAAAAGTGATTCTTTTCTCCATACGGGGAAGTTTTCCTCGACTTTTTTCCGACAGCGAACTCAATGCAGTAAATTTTAGGAGCAAAACAGTTTGCTCCTAAAATGTATTGCATTGAGTTGGCCATGTTTTTAATTTTTTTTCGTGATTGCGTTCAAATTTATACTGGCCGTGCAACGGTTTGCAAGAGGGGGAATGAAACTGACGTCCAATCCACGTAAACCTGACGTTTGAGGGACTGAGACTGACGTCCAATCCGCGTGAAAGACTGGTATCGAGGCTTCATTGTTTTCACAATCAAATGACTGAATGTTATCATTCCAGATATATATATATATAGAGTTCACTGGCTACACTTGCCAAGAAGATGGCGACAGTGGAACAACTTTTTTACTGAGGTTACACATCTGTTCGTACTTAGTCCATGGTGATAATATAATTATCACTTATTTACTGAGACTGAGGGAAACAGTGTGTTCTGTGGAACCGAGACCGCCTTTGTTGCCTGAGATCGAGGGGCCACAAAACACACTGCTTCCCCGAGATCTCAGTAAATAAGTGTTTTAAAATCTTAATTTGAAACCAAAACTGGATAAATGGAACGCCGCAAATGTTCAATAAAAAGTTTAAAAAATGTACTTTGGAACTTCATGGTTGACACGCATGCGTATTGCACCCATTTTAGTATTGACCGGTCAATAAATGTTTTATTGTGGACCGGTTGCCTCCTCGGCAAAGCACGCAGTGAACACGACGTTTTTTCGACCGGCACGTTAAACGGTTTTGACTAATCGGCAAACAGAGAAATTGAACTTTGGCACTATCTATATAGCAAAGAACTTTAGCAGCGAGTACGAGTACGATATTTGTCAATGCGAAACGCACGATGTATGCTTACGCGCCACCCGTATTGACGCGAAAAAGGCGTAACCGTCGCCCATCTGAGAACGAATTTTGGAGAAATCTTGTGGTCCTTACGACGACCTTTTAAAAAACAAAGAAAGTTTTTTTTTTCCTTTTCTTTAATAACAATTTGTAGCCCTTATCAGGTACAAATAATCTATTAATACTAAATGTCTGGCTTGTTTTTGACTCCACTTATTCATGACTTATTTGCACTTAATTCGTGTATTGTTCCTTACAGATGAGGCTAATTTTGTAGGGGATTTAGCTTGCTTCAGATTTTGTTTATAGAAAAATTTTCTCGTTTGTTTACTGCTATTAAAGCAGCATTTGAACGAAAACGAGAACGACCACGACTTCCTTTCACGCGGTCAAATCTCGTACTCGTACTCGTAGTCGCTGCTAAAGCTCCCTAATAGTTGGTGAAGTGTTACTACAGGAGGAAACCTAAACTACGGCAAACTAACTTTTTAATTATGCTGGATAGCTCTGTAAGTCATAAACTGTTCTTCCTCGGTACAATAAAGACGATAATATATGGTCAAGTGTTACTAGAGTAGGAAATTCTTAACTCTTACAGAGGAAAAAAACATTGTACTTTTGGACCCATCAATACAAATGCAACTTCCCAACAGACTGGCAATGCAGGATAAAGCCTTGCTAAGCTATCCACCTCACATAATGACTGCGGAACAACAGCAATTCCTTGAGATCCAGAAACGACAACAACTACATCAACAACAACAAATGCAACAAGAGAAACTCGATTCCAGGGGCGCTAAAGAGGTTGAGCAAGAGCAGAAAGTGCAACCTCGTTCCCAGGGCTTTTCCCTTTTTGTCACTGGGAAGGCGGGAAAAGGCCCTGGCACCGGCCGGTCTTCTATGTATTCTGATTGGTCAATGACAAGTATATTATTATGCAAATAATGCAATCTTGGATTAATTTATTCAAACTTTGGGATAAATTAACATTTCACGCAAGGAGTGTCCATTATTAATACTTTGTCCGTCTAAGAAATATTTTTGGCAAAATCTGTGGCAAAATGGTTAAATTCGATAAAATTTATACACATTTTGTCGAAGGTTAGTATTATTGTTTGTTTAAAAATGTGAGAGAAGATTAATTGTGTACTAGAACACACCTCTGAGGCTCTGACCAAGTATTTAGGGCAAAAATATGTGCCTTCATTGGCTTCGTGGTATAGCGTTAATGTTTATATTTATAAAACTAAAGTCTGGGTTTATAAACTGAAACATGACCTTTAGTTTTTGATATTCTTCATAGTCGAGTTTAAGTTGGCCTAATTTATAGTTAGTTACCACTAGAAATGCGACGATATTTTGTTATATCATATATGCAACAGTGTTTACAACTTTTGAATAATATGTCATTTGGTTTTTTTGGTTTTGTTTCAGATACTATTACATGTTGCTTCATTTTACCATAAATTGTGTTAAAAAAGTGATTTGCTCATTTGGCTGATGTTACAGTTTTCTGATATGTTTTGTTTGGATGATATTAGAACAATTTCAATATGAAAGTGCAGGTGCATCAAAATACTGATAAAATCCGTTTCCAGCTTGATTGTATTTGCATTGTTGCGGACAAAGTTGTGCAATGGTGGGCTTATGTCACATACTCGTATGTAATTCCATGTGCATGCTTGTACTTTGATGCCTCAAGAGATGCTTCGAATGTGTAATAAAGGACTGTTCGCAGGAGTTGGGCTGTCTGGCCTTAAATTGCATTGTTTTTATGATATTTTAAGATTGTATTCATATGGCTGGACCATCTTGCCATTGCCACAATGTCTGATGTTTAAACAGGCTTTAAAATCAGGTTACAATGCATGCTTGAAAATATGCAACAATTTCACTGCTAATAATATTCCAGAAAATCCTGCCTTTTGGGAAGATCTGGACTGATTTGTCAGAGGGGGTTGGAGGTTTTCTACTTGTGATCGGGAAGGGGAGCTAGCCAAGGGTGTTGGGTCAGAGTCAAACTCATGTGAACAGCTTCTAAGTCCTAATTATATTGATAAATGTACACTTTGGGATGATAATGCAATATGTAAAATATTCCACATTTTATTTAATAAAATTTAATTATATACATTGTTTTGTTGTTTATTTAACACCTTGGGCAGTGTATATTTACACCTTTGGACCCTGTAAATAAACACCTTTGGAGGGTGTACCCATTCTAAGCCAAAGACATTTAAGAACAATTATCAAGGTATTTGCATGATAAAATATATTAAAACTGCTCTCCATATACATGTAATGCATGGTTCAATTCTTGCTTTTACCAAGTAAACTCAGGGATTTTCAATCTCCCCCTCCTCCCATAGAATTCACTTGAAGTGACTTGGGCAAGGTAGCTATAAGTATAAGTAGGTATAATATATAAAAGTGAATTAAAATTTACAAATAGAGCTTTTTGAATATAGACCATTGCAAATTTTTTTTAAATTTGTTTAACCCTTTATAGTGTCAATGTGCCCTACTTTAGCATATTACTCCGTCTGGTGCCAGACAATTTTACTCAAGGGCAGAATGTAGACTTGCCACAAGTCGACCTCGAACGAAACGTCGGCTCACACTCGCTGCTTGCGTTTCGTTCGAGGTCGACTTGTGGCAAGTCTAGGCAGAATGCTGCCACTCAATGAGTTAATATATTTTCAGAACAGTTACCATCAAATTAAATCTATTTTGCTGGCAAAATTGCCTTGGAGGGGGGTCCTTGATTTGTTGAGTCTTTTTTTTGGGGGGGGAGGTGTGAGTGTTGTAAAAAACAGAATAGCAACTGGTTTCAGAATAGGAAGAATTGTTGTAATATAGGTAATATAATTCTATGACAAATCATCCAAAGGAAGCAATCATTCTAGCTCTTATAGTGTATGTTGCAACAGGAATGGATTTACTGGGGGGTGTGCACCCCCCACCCCCCTAGCCCTGGCCAGAGGGGGTGCAGGGGGGGGTGCTATTTTTCATGATAAAGCAAAAAATTATTTCAGGCAAAATGAGATACAGTAATTTGAGTAATAACATGATAAGCGAGCTGTGAACAACAATTCAAATACAGTAGTAAAGCAAGACTTTGCAGTAGTGAAGCAAGTTGATGGGCGGGCGGCACACATGACCAACACAACTCGGCACCAGAGCTGGCAGAGCACCCCCCCCTACCAGATCATGCTGGATCCATCCCTGTGTTGCAAAATGTATTTTCTTCATAGTCAGGCATTCACATGAATGAAGATTAGAATTGCATCATGTTATATAGTCTTAAATATTTAGGAGGGGTCTCCATTATTAAATTAAGAGATTAAAAAGGGGTCCCATGACATTTTGACATAAGAATCTCCCACCCCACCCTAGGGTATAATGAATGGTCACTTAAAGTACATGCCATCTTCTAACTGGTTGGGCACCTTGCCCCTTTTGTGATGGAAAATCTATTCCCTACATTTATCCCCTTGGACAAAAAATTCAAATCAACTCTCCACCCTCATAATGTGCAGATGGTAACAGCAAGAATTGAAGCAAGCAAGCTTTACTGGAGTACATACTATTATTAGGAAGCATCAATTCGCACATGCTAATTTGCCAACGTAATATTTCTTATCTCGTATAGAATTCTTAAGGTCTTGTTTACATTTTACTGGAAGCAAACTAAGATGCATATACAATATTTGGGTCATATCACTCATATGTCAGTTTTGCAGCTTGCCAGCTTCAACAACATTTGGCTGCAAGGAAAACGTAAACAAGGAAAGAGCATATAACAATTCATCTGTGTTTAAAATGTCAATGAATAAATATTCCAACCATTGGCACTTTATAATATAAGTGACATTCAACAATAGATCAATAACATATACAGTATATGCAAAAACATTTCTTTGAATCACTGTATAAAACATTCCTCATAAACTCGCTCCAATCGTCCCACAGCAGAGTCTTTGGAAGGGTAAAACCAAGTTTAACATCCCCAATTCAAAACACTTTCCGTGTCCTCTTAGGCAAGCCTGTCCAGCTGGAGAACATCTGTCGTAATACTATTATATTTTGGCTGTTAATTTTGTTTAGCGAACGAACGATATTTACCAAACCCAGTTGGAAGAACAGCAACTACAAAGTTCCCATGTAATAAAAGCTGAAGAATCTGATTTCGAGTGCGTCGGTAGCAAAAAGAAGGAAACATTTCAAAGACTAAACGCATTTTTAAGCCGCTCTAAGCACTTAAATTTTGTGGACACTCTTAGGTTGGCGGCCATCTTGGATTTTCTAATCATTATTATTATAATTTATTACACCCACTATATCTGGGTGTTGAAAGTCATGTGACCGGCCGGTGCCAGGGCCTTTTCCCGCCTTCCCAATGACAAAAAGGGAAAAGCCCTGGGAACGAGGTTGTGTAAGTCACTTTCATCAGTGGGTTTATATTTGGAACCATCACATGAGGACCCGCACGATGTGTGAAAAAATTAAGGCAAAATATGTTCGTTACCATGGCATAATGTGGCAAGGCGTTTGGCAGAAATTTTTTTTGGGATCACTTTCCGTGGGAGGCTTGGTAACCGCGACTTTTACTCAGGGTACATATTTGGATTTATTGGGACACTTGATGTAAACTTGAGGTTATTCAGGTACTCTATAAAGTCTATTATACCATTAATTAATTATCATTAACCTTTAGCGGAAATATTTAAATTTTCCGTAAATAAACTGACTATGAACGTAATAATAGCCTGAAGTAAACTGAATGCTGAAGTACGAATATAAAATATATATATTAGAAGTTACTCCAACTGAATTTCTGCATCACCCTCAGCTTACACAGTTTATAATGCAAAATCTATAATCGTGTCTTGTTTACATTTTGCATTGCGCGCAGGCAAATTTTGATCTTTGAATTTTGATAATCATGATAATCAATGATAATTAAAGACATCAGTGCGCCTATATATAAGCATTAGAGTGTGTGGTTTGCATATTTGTCGGCTAGTATAAACATCACGTTTTCAACCGAGACTATCTGTGACTCGCACAATTTGATTGTGAACGTTTCTATCAGTTAAATCACAGTTTATAGACTTGCAGCCTTCTGCCTGTGTTTCAGGGATTAAGGTTGTATCTTAGTATAGACTATAAACTGTGGTTAAATAAACTGCGAATTAATAATATATTTCGAATACCATTACGCACGAACTTATGACCTTTATACTAGCATCAGTAAAAAAAAATTCAATATCTCAATATTTATGGTATATTTTGATCTATTTTATAAAAAAATTGTAATGTGTTCTCTTTTTAGTGAATTTTATTTATGGGTACAAAGCTTTCGGAAAGACGCGATGAATAATGCGTCAAAACGCAGCGGTTATGTAAATAAATATAGAATATATAAGTTTGCGTCAAAGCATTCGACCGCAATAATCTATTTCCTGCTGTACAGGCTTCCTATATTGCATCATAACAGGCGCGGTTACCAAGCTCCCAAAGAAAGTGATCCCAAAAAAAAATTCTGCAGGCGTTTGAGGGTTGACATGTATAAATTAAATTAACTCACTATAGGACAAGATGGAAGTGTAATTTGATGATCAGTTTTATGAATGGTTTAAATATTGATAAGTTCAGTTTTATATTAGTAAAAGTTAAATAAATCCTAATAGTTGAACACATCTGTCAACGCCATCATTTGAGATTTATAGGCAAACGCGCGAGAATTTGAATAGTACCGCGAAGCAATGGCAATATGACAAGTCGAGGCAATTTGCGCAATGTTCTTTCGACTATATATTATTCGCATAGCTTGGACTATAACAAGAATTGGTACGCCAATCACGATTTGCTTTGCCGTTATCCAAAATCGAATAGAAGGGCTGATGAAAGTGCAGTCTTTCAACTGTTCTCAAGCGAACTAGAAGTACGGAAGGTCAATATCGCTGATCTTCAAGACAGCAATGGCAAACAGCCATCCTACCGTTGGTTCAATGGACGACGGCAGAAAGCGTATATTCTTTCTGGCGATGAGACAATGAAATCCAAGAGGAGAACGGCTGGAATCCAGCGCGTATCAGACCATCAACAAGATAGTCAACACGTTGTGCTTAGAGTAATTCAGCGGCCCGAGACAATTCTGAAGCTACAAACAGTAACCATGAGCCAATTAGTCCCAGAAGCGCATTCGCATGAATCCTTATAACCGTCTTCTACAGGAAAAAACGACAAACAAGAGACATTTATTCTCTCTGCACGCGCAAGAAACGTCTAAATAAAATTGAGAATGCGTTTCAGTTAGTTGAATTTCCGGCCCAAAACTCAAAGTCAGAGCGAAGATATTCGATTCAGCATGGCCGAGACATTTCTCAAACTAACTCAGCCAGGACGCACTGGGGTATGTTGATATTTGATACTGCTTGTTGATATTTTTGATACTCTATTTTTATAGAAACTTATACTCGGCCTGTCAATAAATATTGAATTTAAGCAATTTACGTATATTAAACCTAGTTTCCAGCAAGTAGCTGTTGTAAACAAAGAAAACGATAGGAAATGTTTTTAATTGTCACATCCCCGTACTATAATCTCGTTAGAAATATAAGCTAAAGTACGGCGTATTTTTGTACAATACCAGCCCTACTGGCATATTGACTTACATGGGCTATAAAGCTAGCGCATTTTATTATTAAGTTCCGAAAACGGCTATACAGGTAAAAGAGGAAACAGGTTAATTGAAGTTATAAGGTTGCAGTTATATATAGTGCTAACATATAGCCAGCATAGTAATACACTTCAGTTGAATTCAAAGGTTTAATCTAGGTGGCGAATGCGCAGGATAGTTAATTATTATAATATTATTGGGCATTGCGTCGTATTTTGAGGGCTAAAAATGTGCAAACTCGCCTGGTCAATGGTACTGATAAAATGCCCGCTAATATTATAATCGTAAGATGAATTTGAGTCGTGACAAAAACATAGTGATGTCCGCGAAAACCATCTCTATCGTTATATTAACCATAGCCGGCGGAACGTGGGAGGCTATTTTTTTGGGGGAGGGGGAATGGGGAGGGGCTATAGCCCCCAAACTACTTATAGTGATACTAATACTATACTGCCAGTATAACAGCTACAATAAAACTAACAATTTTAATTTAAATATTTACGAAAACCACAGATTTTGCAAGTCTTCCAACAAGTTACTATATAAATTAGGCACGACAATAAATACAGTTACTCAATTAACGAGATTAGTTGATGTCGAATGGTAGAAAGCCAGTCGTACATCGGTGTATATTTGGCATCAGTATATATACTTGCCTATACTGCATACTGTATACCTTGAGGCATTAAAACAGTAAGTAATTAAATTGCTGTTGTAAAATTAATGAGAATTTTTTAGTGGACACTTAAGAAGATGTAGTCATCTTTGCTTAATCAGCAACTTATATTATTTAAATGAAGTTTAAAAGTACAATAAATTCTATAATTTTATTACAAGTTATTATTCAAGACACAAAAAATACACTGCTGTTGTACAGTATAAATATTATGGGAATTCTTTTAGTGGACGCTCTTGTGTCAGAAAGATGCAGTTATCTTTTGCTGACAGATTAAGAAGATGTAGTCATCTTTGCTTAATCAGTTGAAGCTGGAAGTCGTGTCATAATTGATAATTATTACACAGCATATTATAGCATTGCATTGTAGTGAATCATTTCAATCACTTGCTCAATAGGGCCATTTATACGGAAGAAAATAAGTCGCGACTTACATAAAACGCGAACACACTCGTATAAATGGTCAAATTCACTTCAAATTTTAGTTAACAAGCTCGCTTCGATCGTAACTGGCAAATCTAATAATTGACTTGGCGGTTTGTGGTACCACTGAAGAGGAAGTTCGGTCGAAGCCATGACCGTGTGTCGAGAGTTTGCGTTTAGTCATGGCCACGTTCACAAATTAGGTATCGACGACTTGTTGACGTATTTACATTTAATTTAATTAACCTAGCTGTTCTCGAGTGCCGAGAACAACACCTCTCCTCTATAGTACCACAATCACACTTCCTAAGGAAGTGGAGATGAGCAAGGGCACTAAGACCCGCTCCTATAGAGATACTGTATAACGAACGACTTATGACACACATACACACGAGTTTGGGCCGATTGTTGACGTTGATAACCGCAAACACAGGACGAGAAGGACGATGCGATAGACGATGGATTGGGAGAAACGAGGGTTGTTAACCCAACGAGGCTGGCGCGAGGTGCCAGATCATGAACAGGGAAAGGTACTTAACTGAGATTGGGCAATCGACGGGCATCGAGCCAAACGACGGGGCTGGCTTTGGGCTTCCTCCGGGAAGGCTACGGATGGGCGTGGGTCAGGGGGAGGGGATGGGAACAACTAAGAACCCCCGTGGGTGAGGGGGGAAGGGAACGACTAAATGTCACGACTGAGCATGAGCTACTGGCGTAAACAACTTATATAAGGTAGGTTATGCAAATGCCCTCATTAGCATTTGCCAAGCTGTCCCTGGGGGCCCCCTATTCTGATAACAAATACAACAACTCAGCTCGTTATTAATATCATTTATTTCATAAATCCAATTAACAAGCTCGCTTCGATCGTAACTGGCAAATCTAATAATTGACTTGGCGGTTTGTGGTACCACTGAAGAGGAAGTTCGGTCGAAGCCATGACCGTGGGTCGAGAGTTTGCGTTTAGTCATGGCCACGTTCACAAATTAGGTATCGACGACTTGTTGACGTATTTACATTTAATTTAATTAACCTAGCTGTTCTCGAGTGCCGAGAACAACACCTCTCCAGGGCACCACTCCAGCAACGCTGGAGAGAGGGGTTCGAGGCACTCGAACCCTCCTCCAAAACGGTTCGAATTAGGCCAGCACGGCAGCTATTGATGTTAGCACGGGCGATGGAGTCCGAATGTAAAGAAGGTACGCGTTGCTCGACCAACGACCCATTAATTAAGTGATCCGAGATGCCCGTAGACGCTGCTGCTGTCGCCGCGCCAATCCTAAAAGTGTGACTGGAGTAAGGTACCACGTATTCTCAAGTTGGATAAAATCGCACGGAGCCAACAGTTGACCACCACCGGTGTTAGCGGAGAACCATCGGAGAACACGAACAGTGACCCGGGAGCGTTGCCTCGAACCTGAAGGTAACGGCGAACCGCAGAACACGCCTGAAATCGACAGGACCTGCAGTCGTGACCAACTTGCGCCCCAGAGATGCGCAGCTACAACGATAGGCAGAAGCTCCATAAACGCGATGGATTGTGGGGAAGGCAGAAACGGCCAGGAACCGAAACACCAGTGGGAACGCCACATCGCTCCAAAACCGATGGACCCTGCTGCGTCAGACGCGCCGAAGAAGTCGGTAAGCTGGGATACGCCAGGCGACAAAAAGAAGCTGATGCCATTCCAATCACGAAAGAAAGCGAGGTACCAGTGGACATCCCAACGAAAATCGACGTTAAGGCGAATTGGGTGCGAGCGATTGCGAAAATGAGCCAGATGATCAATCATACGGCGCAAAAACGTTCGCCCAGGACGCACAACTTTGCACGCGTGGTGGAGGTAGCCAGTCAAGGACTCTAAGTCCTGACGGTGACAAGTACGCTTGTTGGACCAAGACTGGAGGAGTGACATGGAACGGTTGAATTTTTCGGCTGGCAACCTAGCAATGTGAGTGACCGAGTCAAGAACAATACCGAAGAACACCAAGCAGGTTGCGGGGCCCTCGAATTCTCATGGTGAAGAGAGAGACCCAAGTGGTTGAAGACGGTAACGAAGTGTCGATGTGGGCTTGGCACACGGGAGGCGACAGGGGACCCAAAGTTAAAAAATCATCGAGGTAGTGGAACAACGGGTGAACGTGGTAGTTGTTGAAAGAATCCAATGAACAACGGACGCCACAGCATCAAAAAGGAATTGAGGAGACCTGAGGCCAACAGGTAGCACCAAGTCCACATAGAAAGAGTCTCGCCAGTACATGCCTAACAGATGTCGGTCGGAGACGTTGATCGGAATGTTACGGTAGGCAGCCTGCACGTCGAACTTGGCCATTAGGGCCCCGGGGCCAATGACAACGAGGGATCTGATAGCGTCGTCAACGGAAATGTATCGCATAGAGAAGGGATCCTGAGGTAAACCATCGTTAACGCTTGCTCCTTGGGGAGAGGAAAAGGTCAGGGATGAGGCGCCACTTCCCAGGTTGATGACGTTTCGGAATAACCCCAAACGGACTGGTTTGAGAGAGGGCAGTGGGGGGCGGGGGTACGGGTAAGGACCAGCCACCCGGCGTTGAGCGACTTCCGTCGAGAGATATTTGTCGATGACGTCCGGGTGTTGAGACGCCGACGTGAGACTGCGGAGCGACGGACGAAGGACCACACGCTCTGGAACGAAACCCACACGGAAACCATCGCGAATGCCCGCCAGCACATACTCCTTGCGGGGACTAGGATACTCCCTGAGCTCGTGCACAAAGGCTTCGAAATTGCGAGGGCAAATAGAGCCGATCGTGAACGAGGATAAGGGGAGTGGGGTAGGTCCTAGAAAAAGATCAAGGAGGAGAGATACGTAGCCCCACCCCCGGACCGAAAAAAAAACAAAAAAAAAAACCCCAAAAAAACTCCAGCACAAACGAGTTAGAATACAATTTTTATTGGCTAATGATAGACTAAAGAGACTAGACTACAAAATGTAGGTATGTATGTATTGGCTTAACCACACGACAATTCTATCAGTCCAGAAAAAAACAATGATGCCGACGAGCGAAGCTCACGAACAACACGACCGACGGCACGCTGAATAAATATCATACAGCCGAGAATCGACAACGTAACAGAAAAAGTAACAATATCAACGTTTTGAAAAAAAAGGAGACGCGCTTACGATGTCCTCTGTGTGTGACTGGGTCGTTCCCGCAGGGACGTTAAAAGGCCAAAAATACGTCTATGCGACCCCCCACATGCCAAACGATCACAAGCATGACAATATCGACACTGCCTGCCAAAGGCAGTGCAACGCTCACTGTTCCAGGACCTGCAAAAAAGGACGACGAAGGGGGACTGGAACCCGCATGCTGAACGCGACACAGGGGAACGCGGAACACGAACCGCGGCGGTGTGGATGTTAAATAGCTCCACGTTCATGTTTGACCGATCAGACAAACCCGGGGCGGCGGCGTCGCGGCGAAAAGCCTCGTCGTAATTGCGCCAGGCATCACCTCCGAATTGCGAATACGTTCGCAGAATCAGCAGTTCGTACAAAAGCAAGTCACGAGCACGGTGGGGGAACCAGGTAACGAGAACGAGGGAGAATATGGAAATCATCGGTAATATGTTATCGAATGGCATCGGTAATATGTATGGTGAAGGCTATTTCAGATACGGTAGAGCACCTAGTTCCCAGGCCTTTACTAGCGCGACCGCGAAATTCAATATGGCGCCAAGTTAGGAGTGGAGTTTATATTCTATAATTTCTATTGTTGTTTTATGATCTTTTTATTCTTTTTGGTTGGTAGTACTTATATTCTGATATGCCAGGTATCTTACTCTTTACCTGATTAATCTGAAAAAAGATTTTATAACAGAATTTTTCTCAAACATAGTTTAAAGGGGAAGTCAAGTCCGTAATGTAAACAAACGGTTTGTTTACATTTTGAACTGCTGTATTTTTTAAAATATGATGTACTGTCTGAATATCTAACACCATTTTGGTTCGTTATGCTTCTACATGAATATGAAATAGAGTTTGTGTTCAGAAAAATTCGAAACATTCAAAATTTGGGCAATGTTTACCTCAGAGGGCCCTCTATTGTTATGCGCAGAACCGATGCGCAGAACGGACTTGACTTCCCCTTTAAATTAATATCTATATGTTTCAGTGAATTATGCTTTAAAAGTAAAAAATAGATTGGCCAAGATAAGAAATTTTTGACACTTTCAACTTCAATTTTGAAAATTGTAATAACAGCCTAGTTTATATTCCATAATCCACAGAGCTTGAAAATCCATGCGGAATGTACAAATTATTGACTTTTCGAGTGAAGTTCTGTTTGAATTTTTCAGGTACTAAGTTATATCTAGTTATCTTGTTATCATCTCTATCTAGCCTGGCACAGACCGTTCAAGATTGCACTGTTTAATTAGCACCAACACTAACAGTCATGGTGCCAGGGATGGATCCAGCATGATCTGGTAGGAGGGAGGGGGGTTTAATTTGCCAGCTCTGATGCCGAGTTATGTTGTTCATGCATGCCACCCGCCCATCAACTTACAGGTCAAGTCTTGCTTGACTACTGTATTTGAATTGTAATTGTTGTTCACAGTTCGCTTCTTATCATGTTATCGATATCACTCAAATTACTTTATCTCATTTTGTCTCTAAAATATTTTTTTGCTTTATCATGAAAATCCCCCCCTGGCCAGGGCTAGGGAGGTGAACCCCCCCCCCAGTAAATCCATCCCAACATACAGTTGGGTTTAGAGGGGGAGGGGAGGGGGGTTGACGGAGGTTACACACCCTTGGCCAACAGGGGAGTGTAAAAATCGAAAGTGGGGGGGTCACTACAAATTGAATTTACCATACATCTGAGCATTTGAGATATTGTATATAATTAGTATTACAAATATATTGCTGCCTTGTAACCTTAGATATTTCATGTGGTATGTGTAATTGGGGTTAGTATGCTAAGTATCTTACTCGTCAAGCAATGCCGGGTTCAGAGTCCTCACCTGTTCGCCTAGCAATCAACAATATACAATTTTAATGCCAAATTGTGTGCCAACATGCAAAATGGACTCTGCACAGGTTGTGCACTACCTTTTCATTTCATGCTGGGTGAACATTATCATGAAGATAGCAAAAAAAACATATTCACAACTAATGTGTCTTCTTTTACTACTTTTGTAATTGTCTTGTTTCATGACCTAAATAAGCTAACACACTTATTAGCTCATGCTTACCTTTCAACCGGCACATTAGCAATGGCCGGCCCATTTTTCTTTATAGTGGTGTCAGGTGTGCAAGTTATTCAATAGGGTACTAACCTTGTATACAGGGCGTTATAGAATTAAAAAAAAATCTGGGCAGGATGTTACAAGGCCATCGGAAGTACACTAAATCAATATTGGGGGGACTCAAGAATATATCTGAATAAATTTTAATTGCTTTTGCACTTTTCTAGTTATTTTGTGTGTTTTGCTTATACAAATGGAAATTTTAGGGGGGGGGGGGCTCAAGCCCCCCACTTCTGACAGCCTTGTCATGTGTTACATGTGACATTGCCAGCTGCCATTAATAGTTTGCAGAATTGTGAAAAATAAATCAATGCTGTAGATTGCAAGTGGTAATCCACTTTCTCCATTGGCATTATAGACATAATACACATAAAATTCCACAAGACCAATTAACTTGGTAATCCTGAGTATTCCATACTCATTGGGAAATCAGTCAGATGCAATTGTACCCACCCTCTGGTCAACCCTTGCCACTAGACGTTTCAGTACCTTTGCCCTGCATATCATGGTTTATGAACTCAACATTTTATGACTGAATTAGCTCTTCTACTATGATATTTTATGCTCAAGTAAATAGAAAGTAGTACAGCAAGCCGGCTGGAATAATGGTCAGATGTTCACTCCTCAGTGGCATAACTCCTAAGGGCTGTGCCCGGCAAGAGCCAGGGGCCCAGGGGGTGTGCCTTGTCAAGGAAGGTCCCTGGACTAACCTTTATGCAGTGTTTGGAAATTTTAATTTAAATAATTAATTTAATTAATAAATTAAATTAATAATTAATTAATTAATTAAATTAATAATAATTATTATAAATAAATTAATAATAAATAATAATAATTATTAATTAATATTATTTAATTAATTAATATTTTTAAAATTTTTTTTAGCTTTTGGGCAATTTCACGTTGCGGACATTACATTCACAGGAAAACAATTAATACAAAACATGCTCTGTTTCCTGTTTGCAACAGTTTCAGATCTGGGAACTTTGTCATAGAAAACCTTAAGGGGACCTCTTAATATTTCATAAAATAAAACAAAATTCCCTCGTAATCACTTCTTGTAAAAAAAAGTCAAAGTACTGTTGCGGACATTACAGCAAAATCAACCACACATTGAAGTGATGTTCTTAAAATGTAATTTCCTGTGAATTTTGAAAGGTATCACAGGAACTAAAACACTGCCTGCTCTCAGTGATACTTGGGGTTAAAAAATATGAAAACGAGATGTTCTACAATGCCCTTGCGCAGCTTCTATAGTGCAAAGTTTGTGTTGCGGACATTACACTGAAACTGTTGCAGACATTACATTTTTGGGATTGTATAGCAATCGATCTGTATTAAAAATAATAGGAAATCAAAACTGGGTGACTGATTATGCACTTCAATGTTTCTAGTCTACATAACAGGCATTCTAGCTTAATTACGCCCGGGCGTACCAGGTGGGGGGGGGGGCGTAGAGGGCGGCAGCCCCCCCCCCCAGTTTGTCGGGCTATCAAAGCCAGTCGGGCAATATTCGCTTCACAGTCGGGCAATATTGGCTTATTATAAAAATAAATGGGACAAATTCTGTCAATTTTGTGGGGAATTCTGTCAATTTTGTGGGAAATATGCTATCTCCGGAAAAAAATGTTTTGACAACACGGGCACAATCCGAAAAAGTAGGGCAAATTTCTTTCCTTCCCCCTAATTTTTTCCTTCCCATACGCCCATGTGTATACCAACAAATCCTGGCATGAAATCATGGTCACATATATTACAGTATATAATCTTCTGTTGACAATAATATCTTTCAAAAGTGCAATATTTGTTGTGCATTGACTCAGGCAATGACTCGGGTTGTGCAGCAAAAAAGTGTCATGTTTGTGGACCATTCTATTTGACAGTTTTGCATTTACTACATTTGGTGGGGATAATTAACACCCCTGACTTTAGTGGAAGATGATCAAAACAAACATGAACTAAAACATGATTTTGCGCTTAACAACATATGCCTTACAAAACTGATGGTACAATGGCAGTATACGGTAGTGGCATTATATGTAACTTGGAAACTTTCCATGATGAATTGTGTCACTGTGATTGTGTATACACAACAGAGTGATTATACCTAAAAGTAGGGTCCCATAGTCCTTTTAATGTTCTATTTTTAAGTCATCAAACTTAAAGTAACTATAGAATTCAAGCAAGACAATTAATAATAAGCATCTAATTCTCCAAGTTCAAAATGTAATGTCCGCAACGTAATGTCCGCAACACATTATTCAAGACATGTTAATACTTTTTATTGTCTTTTTTCAGTCTAAAATAATGTTAATACCATTTTAAAAAAGCAGAACAAATATAATGTCAAAAGAGCTAGACCTTTGGCTGAAAAATAAATTGAATTGTTTTTTTTTGTTGCGGACATTACATTTCTCTTACCCAAACTCTGATGCACCATAAATCACAGCAACACTGGATATTATCTGATATAACATTGTCATCATGATATTTGAACCTAAAGGCCTGATTCCACGGGCGCTTTTTCTCGGCGAAATATTTCGCCTGTTTCTTTTGAATTGTGGGCAATCAAGTAGAAATAATTTATTCGAGTGGTCGCAATTCAAAAGAAACATGCGAAATATTTCGCATTTCACGGAGAAAAAGCGCCCGTGGAATCAGGCCTTTAGACTGTGTTTGTTAAGAAATACAACTTATTTCAAAGTTAAAGTGACTGAGATATAATTATTTTAAATGAACACACTTTATCCACAGAACAATAGCAACAAACAAGTGCAGGTTCAATGGCTTGCCGCAGAGTGGGCATGCGGCAAAATTCAAAAATCGTTTTGATTTATGATAATCCAATGTGTTAACTATGGAAACATGTGGTTAGCACCACATAATGTTGCATTTTGCAATTTTGCCATTTTTAATGTCTCATGTGAAATTGACCTTTTAAGCTTTTAAAAAAGCTCTCCCTGTTAACACTCTGACCAGTAGGTCAAGGCAGGGCCGGAGATACGGGAGGTGTGACACCCCCAGCAATTTTATTCAGTCGGCAGGACTGCTATTTGGTTTAAATATTTCCGCGCAAAGGGCAAGATATTCGGGTTTTTTGGGTAAATTTCCGAATTTTGGTATGAAAAATAGAGGTAAAGTCACTGGAAAGCATTTGCAACATACCTAAAAAAGTTCCCGTCAACCTCTCGGCGGCCCTGTTCGTCAGTCGTTTGAAATGACCTTACACCCCCCTGAAGAATCCCTGAGGACGGCCCTGGGTCAAGGGGGCCCTTCATGGGGAGCACTGAGACTTCGTCCTACCCATAATTAAGATTCTGGGAAATAAGTACCCCATATGCCCCTAGTGTCTAATAGAATATGAATTTCAAGTTGTAAAATAAAAGGAAAGTGCTATTTTTGCAGGGTATATCCTTGACCCAAAAAATAGATTGATTATGTGATCAGCTATCTATTTATCGGGCCAAATTTGGAAACCCGGAAATACACACCCCGAGAACAAAGCTCATTTGTAACTTACTGTTTGCAATGAGTAAAATTAATATTGTATTATGTAATGTAATCTTCAAAAATTATGAAGGGCCTTAGAACTCCTCTCCCAACTAAAGCAACACATTAAAGGGAATGGCTTGGTCCATTACACCCTACTGTTAATGACAGGGATGGCTTTACTGGGGGTGCACCCCTAGCCCTGGCCAGAGGGTGTGTGTGTTATTTTTCATAATAAAGCAAAAAATTATTAGAGGCACAATAAAATACAGTAATTTGAGTAATAACATGATGATAAGCGAACTGTGAACAACAATTACAATTCAAATACAGTAGTCAAGCAAGACTTTGCAGTAGTGAAACACGTTGATGGGTGGACGGCACACATGACCGACACAACTGGGCACCATGCAGAGCTGGTAGAGCAACCCCCCCTACCAGATCATGCTGTATCCATCCCTGGTTAATGAAAAACATGAGATTGCTCATAAAGTTTGTCTCCACTATGTGTTCTTTTATGTCTTGCTGAAGTACTTGAATATCTGAATTCTTTACAGATATGATATTCATATAAGGTTTTACTCTATTATGTGTTCTTTTATGTGACAATAACTAAATTGTTTGATGTTGAATAATGTTTGTTACACATCTTAGCAAGCCACATATACAGGATGTGCTTGTCTGTATCATGATTTGTTGCAGTGTATGTTGTTTAAACAAATTTGCCATCTACAGCATTGATTTATTTTTCACAATTCTGCAAACTATTAATGGCAGCTGGCAATGTCACATGTAACACAAGGCCGTCAGAAGTGGGGGGCTTGAGCCCTCCCTAAAATTTCCATTTGTATAAGCAAAACACACAAAATAACTAGAAAAGTGCAAAAGCAATTAAAATTTATTCAGATATATTCTTGAGTCCCCCAAATATTGATTTACTTCCGATCAGGCCTTGTAACATCCTGCCCAGATTTTTTTAATTCTATAATGCCCTGTATACAAGGTTAGTACCCTATTGAATAACTTGCACACCTGACACCACTATAAAGAAAAATGGGCCGGCCATTGCTAATGTGCCGGTTGAAAGGTATGCATGAGCTAATAAGTGTGTTAGCTTATTTAGGTCATGAAACAAGACAATTACAAAAGTAGTAAAAGAAGACACATTAGTTGTGAATATGTTTTTTTTGCTATCATCACGATAATGTTCACCCAGCATGAAATGAAAAAGTAGTGCACAACCTGTGCAGAGTCCATTTTGCATGTTGGCACACAATTTGGCATTAAAATAAATTGTATATTGTTGATTGCTAGGCGAACAGGTGAGGACTCTGAACCCGGCATTGCTTGACGAGTAAGATACTTAGCGTACTAACCCCAATTACACATACCACATGAAATATCTAAGGTTACAAGGCAGCAATATATTTGTAATACTAATTATATACAATATCTCAAATGCTCAGATGTATGGTAAATTCAATTTGTAGTGACCCCCCCCCCTTTTCGATTTTGACACTCCCCTGTTGGCCAAGGGTGTGTAACCTCCGTCAACCCCCCTCCCCCCTCTAAACCCAACTGTATGTTGGGGTGGATTTACTGGGGGGGGGGTGCACCTCCCTAGCCCTGGCCAGGGGGGGATTTTCATGATAAAGCAAAAAAATATTTTAGAGACAAAATGAGATAAAGTAATTTGAGTGATATTGATAACATGATAAGAAGCAAACTGTGAACAACAATTACAATTCAAATACAGTAGTCAAGCAAGACTTGACCTGTAAGTTGATGGGCGGGTGGCATGCATGAACAACATAACTCGGCATTAGAGCTGGCAAATTAAACCCCCCTCCCTCCCCCGCCCCTTCTACCAGATCATGCTGGATCCATCCATGGCACCATGACTGTTAGTGTTGGTGCTAATTAAACAGTGCAATCTTGAACGGTCTGTGCCAGGCTAGATAGAGATGATAACAAGATAACTAGATATAACTTAGTACCTGAAAAATTCAAACAGAACTTCACTCGAAAAGTCAATATTTTGTACATTCCGCATGGATTTTCAAGCTCTGTGGATTATGGAATATAAACTAGGCTGTTATTACAATTTTCAAAATTGAAGTTGAAAGTGTCAAAAATTTCTTATCTTGGCCCAATCTCGTTCCCCGAGCCTGCGATCCTCGGGAAGGAACCGAAGGCTCTGGGATAATCCGTTTCAGGGAGGAATCTGATTGGCCATTGATATGGAATGCGTAGTTCAATCTTAGCCATGATTCTTGGCTTCCGGTAACGGATTATCCCAGAGCCTTCGATTCCTTCCCGAGGATCGCAGGCTCGGGGAACGAGATTGATCTTGGCCAATCTATTTTTTACTTTTAAAGCATAATTCACTGAAACATATAGATATTAATTTAAACTATGTTTGAGAAAAATTCTGTTATAAAATCTTTTTTCAGATTAATCAGGTAAAGAGTAAGATACCTGGCATATCAGAATATAAGTACTACCAACCAAAAAGAATAAAAAGATCATAAAACAACAATAGAAATTATAGAATATAAACTCCATTTAAACTCCACTCCTAACTTGGCGCCATATTGAATTTCGCGGTCGCGCTAGTAAAGGCCTGGGAACTAGGTGCTCTATCGTATCTGAAATAGCCTTCACCCTGGGTCTAGGACGTCGTCCTAAATAAGTAGATAGCTCAATATCTAACCGGCGACGTCAAATATTTAGGGCGGCAAGCGGAAGTAAATTGGTAATAGATTTTGAAGTGTGCATGTGTCTCTCTCAATTTCTCGTCATCCACCAAACGTGGACAACCTCACAACAAGACTTTTACCGTTGTGAATGCAAGAGCATAAAAAACTGTAATTCACACCTCTCTTTTAAATTCATTTTCAAAAGGATGTAAATATTTATAGTTTAAATGTCGACGTCGTGAATCTTAAGTGGAAGTTTATTTATTTAGGACGACGTCCTAGTCCCAATCCTCTGCTTAGCCCTGACGTCCTAGATGTCGTCGACGTCGTAGATCTTAAGCTATCTATTATCTATGTTAGTCAACGTTTATTCATAGATCTGGTCGTTTCACCGTCACGTGTGTATTGTATTTTTACCAAATCCACCAATAGCAATTTCCAGTTTCCCTATTGTTCGAGTCACGGATAGGTGACTTTCCT